CAGTCACCCCAGTATATTGGACCAGCTAGTAACTATTATGGGTCAGTCAGTTCTGCGTGTTAATAAAATAGAATTGGCCCATAATACTGAGGTGACTTTTTTTTTGACTTTGAATGATCTATATTTCTTGTATTTGTTTGGTTTACGTGTATGAATTTTCAAGTGACACAGATGCGTCTTTTCAACTTTAGTTATTTTGAAATTTTTAATTATTATTTACTTTTCCTAGTCCTATCAGGCCTGTTAAAGTATGACCACCTTAGTGGGATTGGTTTGTTTTGAATTGGAAAAAGGAGACTACTTAAAACTACTATTTACAGCTACAACTAATCTACAACTACTATATACACCTAACCTACTATATACAAATTGCTTATCAAAGCATGTTCTGATGTATTGCATTTCTGTACAAATTTGTTCCTAGTTTCGTTAATTTGAAAATCTACTTTCGGGATGTTAGCCTCTTGATGGAGGTCGGAAATGCGGGTATCGAAAGGACGATCTAGGATCATCCTCAATACCCTGTTCTGCGCTACCTGTATTTTGTTCCTGTGAGTTTGTGCACATGATTCCCACACCGGAGCTGCGTAGAAGATCGCAGGCGCAATGATTTGTTTGTAGACAGCCAGTTTGTTCAGCCTAGAGAGACGAGATCTGCGGCAAATAAGTGGATACAAGCACCTAACTAGATTGGAACACTTAACTACTGCCCTATCTATGTGCGAGCGGAAAAGGAGCTTTTCGTCAAATAACATACCAAGATATGTTACTTCGGTGGACCACTCAACCCTTGTGCCATCCATTATTACAGTACAAGAGGGAGCCGGTTTTAGTTTGGGAGATTGTCGATGGAGGAACATTATTGATTGGGTTTTGGAGGCATTGATTTTGATTTTCCACGTGTTGGCATAATCAGCAAAGGCGTTAAGGCATCGTTGAAGTTTGTTTGTTATTTCACGAGGCCTCCTTCCCTTGACCGTTATAGCGGTATCATCTGCGAACAGGAAGAACACGCAACCGTTGCCCAAGGGAGGAATGTCGGAAGTGTAGATGCTGTATAGCAAAGGGCCCAACAGGCTGCCTTGCGGAACACCTGCTGGGATGGAAAAGGTGTTTGAATTGCAACCATTCAACGATACCTTAAACGACCTTTGCTGGAGGTAGTTACGGGTGATTTTTACAAGATGTGGTGGAAAGTTGAAGTTACAAAGCTTGTACACAAGTCCGTCATGCCAAACATTGTCAAACGCCTTTTCAACGTCTAGCAATGCCACGGCTGTGGACTTGGATACAGCTTTGTTACTTCGAATGTTATTCATCACCCGAACTAGCTGGTGATTTGTGGAATGCCCTTTCCTAAACCCAAACTGTTCAGGTAGGAGAATGTTGTTCTCCTCGACAAACTTGAGCAAACGATTGAGAATTAGTTTCTCGAACAATTTGCTCAGCGCTGAAAGGAGGCTGATTGGTCTATAGCTGGAAGGTAGTGATGGATCTTTACCGGGTTTGCGGATTGGTATGATTTTTGCTATCTTCCAGATACTTGGAAAGTAGTGCAGTTCCAAGCATCTGTTGAAGATAGCAGTCAAAAGCGAGTACACTTTCGTGCTCAGCTTCTTCAATACCAAGTTGAATATACCGTCAAACCCGGGAGCCTTCATGTTCTTGGTGTTTTTCAGCGCTGAGCAAATCTGCTCCACTGTAATATTTTCTGCCGGAGGGACGACACAAGCGGAGGCATCCAAGTTTTGTACGCATTGCGTCACCTGATTTTCGAGCGGACTTTGGATAGTTGAGCCAAGCAAATGCGATGCAGCAATATGATTGCCAATCGCATTTGCTTTCTCTTGTGGGGTAATGAGCCGATTGTCATCATTTCCGACTCTGAGAGGAGGAATGGGTTTGGGATGAGTTTTCAGCACCTTGGCTACCTTCCAGAATGGACGAGAGCGGTCATCCAGATTCTGGACAACACGCCCGAAACTTTCATTTCGGAGTGAGTCCATTCTGGAAGCAATCTGCCTGTTCAGATCGGCCATTTCATGTTTTTTGCTCAGATCTCCAGTCCTCTGAAACTGGCGTCTACGCACATTTCTCAAGCGAATCAGTAACTGGGTGTGGGAATCAATAGCAACAAACTTACCCCTCACAGGAACTTGTCGAACGCATGTCTCGTCAGCCACGGATATGGCCTGGTGGAGTCCTTCCAGAGCCCGGTCGATGTCCTCTACGGTGTCAAGCGGCGGATTTTCGTTGATGTTCAGGTCTACCACACGTCCAAACTGGACCCAGTTTACGTGGTGGTAGTCTTTTCGTAGGATTGGAGCAGGAGCTATGTTGATGCCGACCTCAGCCACCACCGGTTGGTGATCGGAGCTTAAGTCGTTAATTGCCACCGGCTTGGATAGCCCGAAGTTCGTCAGGAAGAAGTCCAGCGTGGAAGGGTTTCCCGCCGGAGAGATGAATGTCGGTTCATCCGGAAATTGCACTGTATACAGCCCATGATGCGAGTGGTCGAAGAGCAGACGTCCATTCTGATTCCGCTGATAGTTCCGCCATGCTTCGTGGCGGGCATTTAGATCGCCCCCAATGACGAATCGTGAGCTCGTGCGAGTGATAGCGGTGAGGTCGTTCTTGAATTTCATCCTTAGTCCGTTGCTGGCAGCACACTGACGAGGGCAGTATACGGCGATGAACCGGACGTTTCCGGTTGATGATTCCACCTCCACACTAAGGGCCTCGATGATAGAAGTGCGGATATGCGGCAGCGTGTAGAACTTTATTCCTTTCTTGATGATGATCGCAACACCACCCCCCCTGGAGTCGATACGATCAAGCCGGATAATGTGGTGATCAGGTAGCCAAAAACTGTCACCAGATTTAAGGTGGGTCTCTGTTAGGAGGCCCACGTCGATACTTTGCTTGCGGAGAAAGTCAGCAAGCTCGAGTCTTTTTGCTCTTACAGAGCATGCGTTCCATGTGACGACAGTTATCGGTTTAGACACCATACTGAATAATAAACTTACCGAGCACTTGGATCTGTTCGGGCTTGCTGCGGCACTGACGAAGAGCACCGGTCATGTCGACGAAAATCTTCATCAGCTCATCCGCAGAAAAGAGATCAGGATTGGCGTTTTGTGCTGGTGGTTGTCTCCAGAATCCAGGGGGGGATGGAGAGCTTTGTCCAGCTGAGGCACCAGACGTTTCTTGACGGGGGCCGGATTGCACCCGTGGATTTGCTTGACCGTGTTGCGTATCACGAAGAGGCGGGAAGTACTCCACCCTGAAGGCCGGAATGTTTTCCTTCTTCCGTCCTGGTTGACTTCTTGTGGACGCCTGCTTTCGGATGCGCTTGAAATCCTCGCGTTTGGGGCACTGTTTGTCGGACCCTTGATGAGCTCCACCACAGTTGGCGCATTTGCACGTGTCCGACTCGTCGACAACGCACTCGGAGGAGACATGATTTTGGGCGCATTTGCCACAGTGCGGCTTGATATAGCAGTTTCGGGTGCCGTGCCCGAAATTCAGGCAACGCTGACACTGGGTGACGTCGTGACGGCCGCCACGGTATGGCTCCCATCGGACAATGATGGAATTGATGGAGCGAATAGCCTTCAACGCATTAAGCGTCACCGTTCCCTTCTGGAAATGCACCAGGAAAAGGCAATCCGGATATTTATTGACGTTCTCGTCCCTCCTTGTCATCCGGAAGACGGCAGTTGGGGCCAGCTTGTAGCGGTTCTTGATTTCCGCTTCGATCAACTTCGGGTCAAAGTTCGGTAGACCCCTGATGACGACCTTGAATGGTTTCTCACCGGGAATGTCATGGGTGAAGAATTCCACCTTGGAAGTCCTCAGGTGGGCGATGACCAAGTCATACTCCGTTTTCGTACGGAGCACCACCTTGGTGCCGACTCTGCCCAACTTGAATTCGGCTTTGACGCCCAGCGACGCCAGATCCGCGATGAGCTCGTTAAGATGGGCATTTTTCACTACCAGCGGAGGTAGCTTCACTCTTGCCGTGCACCTTTCAGCAGCATTTTCTATTTCGGCAGCGTCACCGAAATCTTCGTTTGTCGCAGAGGCATCCTCACGACCAATTGTGCCATCGGACTGGCCCCGATTCTTCTTCCTCTTCTTGCTGCGTTTTTCCGTCACAGCTGGTTGGATATTCCCATCCATGGGGAGAACAGCAAACCTGTTGGATGTAGGTACACCCGAACTTCCTTCACCGGGGTTCTTGTCCTTCACCGGGCTTCGCGAGCGATGCTTCCCCATATCGGGGCACGCACACACACAAAAAACACCGCGAAAGAGAGAGAGCGCGAACACTTCACCACGAACTTTTTCGAACAACTCGTCAGAGCGAGCAAGAGCCGAACTATACTGCTTGACGATCAAGCAGAGAATGATAATACTGAGGTGACTGTAATCTGCCCATAAAAGCATAACTGTCCCATATGAATATGAAATCAAGCAAAGATGGGACAATTATGCTTTTATGGGTAGTACAGCAAAACTAAAAAAAAAAAAATCAACTGGATGCTCTACAGTTAAGTTAAGTTACAGTAAATGGACACTTTCTGCCAAAATTGTGAAATACCCAAGAAAGGGCAGTTATTGAAACGGAATATTATAACGATGAAACGCTGCTTAAACCTAAGAAAAATGCTCCTTTACTGCAGCTACTCAGATTTACTGTCCTGCTCGTGTTTTTTAGTCAGATGATTGGAGCGACGTGCAAGCGTCTAGAATGAGCTTCCAAAAGAAGCTTCATGTAGAATCTTCTTATGAAGCTTCTTTTTCCTTTGAATCTTCTTTTAGAAGTTTATTCTAGAGGGCTGGTATTAGAAGTTAATCCGGGTAAAGTGGATAGTCATAATCTGTATGCTATTAATACGTGTTTTTATATAATTTTCTGTTAAAACTTACATTATACAATTCGTCTATTAGGCAGATATTACATTCCAACATTATTGTTCCTTTGTTTTTAGAGAAAATCAAGAAACGTTATGGGGCACTTGGACAAGTGCTTCATTATTCTGTTGAACGAAGTAGTGGTAGTGCCTTGGGTATATCACTAGCTGGTCATCGAGATAGGACTAAGATGGCATGTTTTATTGCTGGAATTAATCCCAAAGGTTCTGCATCCGCTGTTCCATTCGCGATTGGAGATGAAATTCTAGAGGTATGTAAATGTAAGAAGCCAACTCTCCGATAAAACCAATAGATGTAGCAAATTATAGTCAATAAAAAAATTATTTAATCTTCCTAATGTATAAGTAAAAATTTACACAGCGTTAGCAGCGCCAGTGGTGTAGTGGTAAGCATAATTACCTCTCACCCCAGCAGGCCTTGGTTCAATCCCAGTCGGCGCTGCCGAGATGTTCTTTTTTTATGAATTGATTTATTTGTACAGGCTCAATCGAATAAACTTTACAGAGCCAAGTTATCATTTTCGTTATACATACTCAATCCTAATCTTAAATCTAGAGTTACAGGGATTGAACCGAATACTCGCGGTCGTCTCGAGGTTAGAGGAGATTTACAATTTTATGGATAAGGAGAGGGAGGAAGAGATTTCACTATTTCTAAAACATAAACTTATTTCAATTCAACTTGTTATCAGCTGTATAATTTTAAAATTATAACCAAAAAAAATTAAAAAAATATAGCCATCGTCCCAAACTCCCTTCACTCCATTTATTCTGCCAGCTGGCGAGCGAATGTTGACGATAAATGAAGAAAATTAATTGAAGGCGATTTGTCGATCGTAAATATCGCCTTGCATAGCGCCCACCTTAGCAAGTGAGTCCGCCATCTCATTACCCGGAATCGAGCAATGAGATGGGACCCATGCAAAGGTTTTTATGTACGTCCAAACGAAGCAAAGGGCAAGTTAGGCGGACTGCGGAACCGAAATAAAAGTCACCGTTTTCGTTGTACTTCCAGAGTAAACTGAGCTCAGCTCTATGTATTCAATGTGTTTTTATGCAGCTGGTCGTGCTGCCAGTTTAAGGTTTATAATCATAGTTTCGTCAATTGACGTTTCGTATCTCGTGAAATGTGCACGTATACAACAATTCTTCCCCTTTCGAAAGTTAACAAATTCTATATAAAAAAAATTGACCATTGTCAAACATTTCAAGATTCAATTTATACAATTCCTTAGTCGTAGTAATAATCTTCGAGCTTTTTTTTCTTTTCTAGCCCTCTTTGACCTTCTTGGTTCCTCCTCCATTGTTCCCAGCTGCTTCCTTTTTCTTTCAACGTCTACATCCAATTCTTTAGGAACACCCTGCTGTAATGGGAATCTTGAACAAAAGTCGGCGTTTCCTAACTTGTTTGACGGCCTATAAATGATATATATATATTGAAGTCATATATTGTCAAGTCCAAAATAATACATTGAAGTCTGGTAACATATATCGAGTTTTTACCCACCTTCCTAAACATTCCTAACAATGGCTTATGATCCGTGTAAACAGTAAAAGGTTGTCCATCAAGGTACTTATGTTTTTTTTTTTTTATAGTGCATACTAAAGCTTACGCTTCCAAATGTAAAATGGGTTATTTTCTTTGTGTCTGATTCAATGAAAAGGACGTGAAGCTCATTGGTTTCTCAACTTCATCCACTACATGAGCTATTAATCCTCCTAGACCATAACTTGAAGCATCTGTAACAACCACTACTGGTTTCTTTCGGTCAAAAAATTCCAAAAGGTTTGCCCTTATCAATGAGGTTTTACTTTCCTCAAAAGCCCTTTGGCAATTGTCATCCCAGATACACTTGACATTATTCTTCAGTAAATTGTATAAATGATATAATTTAGATGATAATTGAGGGATGAACTTATGATAATAATTAATTAAACCTAGAAAAGATTTCAATTCAGATTCATTTGTCGGAGCACTCGCTTTTTCAATAGTAGAGATTTTGTCAGGACAAGGCATCAATCCTTTCTCACTTACAATGTGCCCCAGATATGTGAGCTCCGTAACAAAAAAATTGCATTTTTTTAAATGTACCTCTATGTTAGCAATGGCTAATCTCTCTAAAACTAAAAGGAGCTTGTTCTTGCATTCTTCCCTCGTTTTTCCAGCAATTAAAACATCATCTATATGCAATCCCTTCCAACACTTTATCCATTACCTGCTGAAAAATAGACGCACTGGAAGAAGCGCCTTGTGGCAGTCTATTGTAGGTGACAAACCCTTCGTAGTATTGATCACCACAAAACTCTTGGACCTTTCCGTTAGTTCTAGTTGCGTATAAGTACCTTCCAAATCGAGCGAGCAAAAAAAAAATTGCATCCCGCTAAATTGGCAAAAATGTCCTGTGCTGTTGGTAAAGGATAGGTGTTGGGTACGATTGACTTGTTAATTGATACTCTTCAATCAATAACCAGCCGTATATCATTATTTTTCTTCATCACAATAATGATAGGTGATGCCCATTCGCTGGTATCTATAGGTGTAATGACTCTTTCTTTTTCTAATTTGTCTAAATATTCACCAACTCTGTCCCTCAACCTATATGGAACATCATACGCTTTTTTAAATATGGGAGTCTCATCTCTCAGCACCAATTCTGCTTTAAACCATTAATTGATCTACAAAAATCCTTTTCAAATACATTACCGAAACGCTCTCTTAAATTTGTTACAGTACTTCCCCCAGATTCCAGATTCAAATGATTGATTACCAATGATTCAGTGAAGAAATTCCTCCAACTGGGATAAAAAACGTCTAGCCAAGTTCGACCTAATAATGGAAAAAAATCATTTTCACATTCGAGTACCAGCAAAGGCGTTGGCTCCTTCTTTCCATTAAATTTTACCAAAACTGTTGCTTCGCCCATAATTTTCAACTTAGCACCATTTAAAACAATAAGCTGTTTCCCATATCTCCTCATAGGATTGTCAAAATTAGTTAGATATCTCTTTCTACTAATAACGGAAACGGAAGAACCACAATCTACTTCCATTTCAAGGTCACACATTTACTTGCACTAAACTAGGATTGCTTATTTTGTTAATGGACGAAACCAACATACATTGCAAATCACCTGAGTCACTATCCTCTTCCTCCGACTCGTTTGTGCGCATCCGCTCGAGCACCTCCGTGATGTGCCTATCCGCTGAAGGTCCTGGTCTATAGGAATCCACGAGATTCACTGCGTCTCTGTGAAGGTTTTTCAGTTTAAAACACTTCTTCTTTATATGACCCTTCATCCCGCAGAAATGGCATATCATCTCTGAATAATCCAGCCGCTGTTCCTGTCTACATTTTTGTCCATATCGGAATTCACCAGACCCCGTTGTTGTGTTTCTTCTGTCACTCCTTTGTGGTGTCGTTTGGTAAGGCGTGTACCCTAGACGGTTTTTTACCGGTTTCCTGTTGTTGCCTGCCTCGTGACGCGCCCAATCGTAAGTCCTTTCTAAATTTCCTTTGTGCATAGCCTTTACCAATGGCTCCTATCAGTCCTTCATCCTTATGACCGTCTGCTGTTCCGGCATTTGCTCTAGCAACCTCCCACGTGGCTATCAATTTCTCAGCATTTTTCAAAGTCAGTTTTTCCTCACTTAATAGCTTTTGTCTTAGGCCTTTGTCCCTCATTCCCGCTATAATGCGGTCCAAAATGGACACTTCCTTTAAATTGTTAAAGTCGCAAAATTCAGCTTGAAGCTTGAGAGATAAAACAAAATCTTCCATAGTCTCAGGGTGCATCCATTAAGTACGTCACGCAAATTTTGAGCAAAATTGTCACATTTCGTCGCGAGATCTCAACCCCCCCCCTGGAAAAATACGTCACGCTGAGGAAACCCTCCCCACCCTTTATTGAAAAAAAAAATGCATTTTCATACACTTGGTTTACACTTGGTTTAATATTACTTTAAAACTAATATTTTATGTAAGGTACCGGGAAATCAATAATATCTGCATAGCATAACCATGTTGTTTGCATCTGCGTACCATAGACCGCTATTTAATTTTCTTTTAAACCGGCAATTGTAGATAATTAAAAAAGACAAAATTACGAACTAGATTTAAGAAAACATTGAATACACGAAAAGGCTTGCGCCATTCACTGGTGGATTAATCTGATTTATTTTATTGAACATTAATATTAATTCAGAATCAATGATTTGCATCACTTTTAAGAAACATTTTAAAAATATTGATTGCTCTAATCCTCGATCCAAGGATTCTGCAAATGCTCTTCGATTGCTACACGAAACGAAAATCAATTATTTTATTCATGTGTTTCACTTATACATTTTTGCCAAAACATCAACCTTTTACATTCCATAAGACAAACTACATAGGTTCTATAAGAATGCATAAAAGGTATGTGTGACCGCTTGCTTATACATTTCATTTGACACATGATCTTCATTAACTTTTTGCAAGGCGTCTGCTTATTAGTTGACTTATACATTTAATGAATAATCAGCAATAGAAATTTGCCAAAAGGTATAAGGAGATTTCTATCCGTGTATGATCGGATGACTTGGTGCTTCAGCATCTTCGTAGTTGTCAAACGGCACTTCTTTCAAATCAATGTCGATTTCATCAAGCCACTCGAAATCACCAGTTTCATCTGCAAGCACCAGCCGTTCCTTTTGACGTCTTGCGGCAATTCGTGTCGGACGAACCTTTTTTATAGTTGTTGTCATTTTGTGTACCTTCTTGTGATCCTTCAACATAACCAGAGATGCAAAATAGAGACTGCAAGTGGCACAAACTCTATCCTTCAAAGAGTTCTTAATCGACGGACAATAAAGATTGTAAGGAACAATCTTAAAACCAGTCAGTCTTCGGCAGTATTTTACTGATGTCTACTGAATTCAGGACGAAGACTGAAGGGAAGTGTTGCGGTTCGTCCCTCGTAGCACCTCTTAGTCCATCGGATGATTGCGTGAGCGAAATTGGTGGAGGCAAAAACCTATTAGGAAGTACTTTGGCCAGAGTGCTTCTCAGTGGTGAGCATCATTTCTGAAAACAAAATGTTAGGAACGCATCAGTTGAATGATAAAGTGATATTATCAAAATGATTCTATTACCTATCATCACATTCGATAATTTGCAGACAGTACTGGCTGGTTCTTACGTGGATATCGAACAAATTTTGATCTCAGCTTTCGAGTGCTGCTGGGTCCACTTCAGAAAATTCCGGATCAACGT